GAACTGCATGGTACTTTAGTCTTGTTTGTAGGAATTTCTTAGAGCACAGGTCCGCTGATTTCTGGCAGTCTCCTGTGTCCATTGCACTGCGAGATTACCTTGCATACTTATAGCCAGCTACAATTTAAGCAACTCTCATTTGTATAGATTGTCATTCGTGTTTGTCTTTTTTTTCCAGGAACTACATTTGAAACTGTACAACGTGGAGCAGTTTTTGACGATTGAGAACTTTGAAAAAGTCAGTTTGTGGAGTTGGCTGCACATGTTTTTTGCTGGCAAGTAAATACTTCAGTTTCTAAAATCTAGCATGTCTGAGATAAAAGCAAACCTTGTGTGACTGACAGCACCCTTCTGAAAACTGTTTGGACAATATTGGTCACATCTAACCAGGGTTTTTCCCACGGTGGGTGGCAGTGGCTTCGCTGCCAACTAGTCCTGCTAGCCACCCAATTCCTTGAAAAATGTATTGTGGCCTGCATGTTTTGGCTTGGAAATCCACAGTGCTGGCCAGATTTCTGTGCCACGATATGCAGGTACAGGTCCCCACAATCCAAATTAATGCGACTTGGTTGAGGTGCTAGGAGAAGAAAGCTGCAGCTGCTGCCTCTGTCCCCCTCGCCTCCACAGTCGCAGTCGGATGTCTATTTGTCTACAATTTACGAAGAAAAATCTGCGTCTAACATTTATTTTATCCCAAAAATGTACAGCTTCACTAGATCAAAGGCCACATTTATTAAGAAGGCCTTCCACAAGATTGGCTTTTTCCTCTTTATCTGTGCAGACCCGATTATAGTCTCTGTAAATTAATTTTAAGTGGTTGGCTTCACATATTTATTTCTAGTAGATATAAAATAACTGATGTAATGAAAATTTCATGGTACTTTTTTTTAATGGGTTGCTTGTTTCAGCTTGTCCTGTTTTCAATTTAAATGCGACAGCATTTGTGGGTGAACCTTTTATCACTTTTTATTGGTCAGTTGGTGTGTTGGATGGTTCGTGTGACCGATTTGACTCTAGCACAGGCAACGGCACAGGCACTTGAGGACAGCTTGGTTTGTACGAGCACTCATGCAGAGACAACGCTTTTTAAAATCGTGCATCTGACCCTATGCCTTTGCCAGCTCCAAAACCAACTTATGAATTGGAGTACCTATATGGCATGCAGGTACACCAAAATGCATCGTTCGCACACATAAGAACAATCTCTTAGAGAAAATTATAAAGAAGAATCTCCCTTTCAACGGGCAACAAAAAAAAAATGTGCAGTCAGAATGCGCTGAGGAAGTGGCCAAGTGAGCTCCTTGAGTGGTAGGCACTTGGGTAAAAAAAATGGCTAGATCACATTTGGGGGGTAATCAGGTGCACAAAGTGTGGAGCTTGCAAACAGACATGCATGCCATATAAAAATACTCTGTTAATTTTTAACTCGCTCGACTCAAAAGCGTGTGCATAGGTGTGCTCAAACGTGGATAGGATGGAGCTCCTAAATTCTGAGATTGGCAGGGGTGGAACGGCTGCGCCATTTTGCGCCAGACGCATGTGTCTGCGCCATCCTGCGCCGCAGTTAATACCTCATGCCATTATGCGCCAAATGGCAAAACGTGCGCCAAAAGTTTTTTTTATTTTGTCTTGGTTTCGGTTTTATTGACTTGATTGGCCACAATGAGCGCGTTTAGCCTGACCGGCCTTGTAATCCTTTGTTCTGTTTATTCTCCCTGTGTATCCCGAGTAGGAAGCGCGCGAAAAATCTCGGGATTCTAAGCTCTACACCACCTCCTGCGACTGGATTGTTATTCTTTAACCATAAGCGGTTAAGCAAGCCGGCTGAGCTGAGGTCGAGCCGTTAAGCGTCAGATTGCCTGAGGCTCTGCGGCCCGGGATCCGGACGTCAGCCAGTTGAAAACAAATGAGCAAAATATTCCTTTTAGTACTTCATCGTCAGAAGTTGGAACTGCATTCCCGCAAGATAAATTGTGATTTGATAGAACTGAAACACTGTCCGATCCGAAACCAGCAGCTCTTACGCGAGTGGTAAATCTGCTCGGCATACATTAACCTTGCTCCTGCTTATCGCTTCAAATACGATAACTTCGTTAATCGTAGTCTGCTGCTTCGATATCGAGTTGCACAATAGGTTAAAGTCGAAATTTGTTGCCCTATTCCTCCATGCAACTCCACGTCCGTTGCTTACGCACGTCACGTGGTTCGCACATATAATTACTATGTCGAGCACGTGTGGGTTGTGCGATAAGCAGTGCTGGTTTGCATTTTGAGCAACTGAAGTCCACTCAGAAAATGTCAAGGATACTATCTTCAGAAACATAGGGTACTTGCTTTTTGATTCTCATTCACCGCTCATTCACACTGGAAGCGGATCCGCTTTCGCAAAGCGGTTGCAAACGCGGTTGTATAAAGATCCAGTACAATTGCACATGCACTCGATGACATCAAGTGCGCATGCAATTGTACTGGATCTTTATACAACCGCGTTCGCAGCCGCTTTGCGAACGCGGATCCGCTTCCAGTGTGAATGAGCGGTAAGGCTCACAAAGTTTCAAGTTTTCGCATCTGTTATGCTGTTATCCCATCTACCTAGGTCCCTAACCACTCATGTTCATCTGTGCTGCTAAGCACGATTGATATTGCTCTTGTGCTTGTCTAAGACACAAGCTGAAGTGCAATAAAAACTGATCTGAGCTGCTCCTAGCCTGCTCCAGAGCATAGTTTTAGCTGCTCCTAACCTGCTCCAAAACAGCTGTTTCAGCTGCTCCCGTGGCTACTCCCAAGTACATTTCATGAGTTCCACCCCTGGATTGGGGACTGCGGAGGAAGCTACTGCTTAGTCCCCAGTTTTTGATAGCAGTTTTAGTACAAATGCACTCTCTCACCGCCTCAGTTTTGTGAAAACTTTCAGGGATATCTAAAGAGAAAATAAAGTTTTTAATGCTCGTGCTCTCTAAGCACTCGAGGCTGACCACCTGATTCGACGACGCGAAAAAGTGCAAGTAGCCCTTCGTTCTAATAGGAGATTTTAAGTGGCTGCCCAAACTTAGAAAAGTCTAGGATATGAGCTTAGCCAGTTTTACATAGACTCTTCTGCAACATCTCATGAACCTTAGAAATAAAGCATTACTCAAACTGGATCGAGTTTTCCGGTTGGTTCATCAGTTCTCAAGAAATGTTTCACATTATAAAGCAAATCACTATTGTAATTCCGGCGTTGCATTTTTTCACAGTTTCGAACGAATCTAAGCTTCAATGAAGTGTATCAGTTTTGACTAAGGAACAGGAGAACAAGACCCTCAAGTCAAACATAGGTTTTAGATATCGGATCACAGGATGAACAATTAGGGGCTATGTCCATTTGATTTTTGTATAAGATGCATGACTAATAATTAAATGGGCTGAGGGGGGCTGTGTCTTATGCACAAAGCTCAATTTGCACATGTTGATTTGATACAGATATTTAATTATTTTTTCTTTGTTTTCTCTTCTTTAGCACATCACGTTACATGCAGCATCTGAAAACAAAGGCAAAACACCACGGGGCTCCACTTTGGCTTCTCAAGGACCGAAATAAAGTGTTCGAAGGTACTTTTCTTATTTTCTCATCAATTATTCAGGTGACATTGCATGATTCTTGCAAGCAGCATGGGAAAGAATACTCAATATTCTTTTAAAGAGATCCTTTTCCAATTCAAAATTCTGTAACCTTTTTTTTATGGAAAACCTGTTGGTCTCAGCGTCATAATGAACATTAATCTATGTATAGAGCAGTATTACTAAGGGACTGGCAGTAAAACGAACTGGAGAAATTTGCTCCTACAAGCATTGAGCTCATATTCTTACCAAAGGTCTATTTTAGCAGTGAACACTATTGTGACATGTCAAGGCACAGCTCCGTCTCTATGGAATGTGAAAACAGCATTCTCTATATTTTCAAGCATGAGTGCCGACGCAGATGACAGATTGACATTTGGTGTTGTTGAGAAGGTGCTTTATATCGCTGTTTGAAATTGCAATGATCGCAGTGGCCGATCAGACTGCAGATAATGTTTTGTAATCCCACTGCCTTCTATAATTCTGCATGTTGATCTGAATGCCAGAACTTGCAGAAGAAAATACAACTGACATTGAGGAAACTTGCTGCAGATGCATTGCTCAGCTGTATTGCCTGCTTTCCACAACAGGTGGTGGCACTTCTCGACAAGAGCACTCAACACGACTCAGTTGTATACATCGGTGCCCATTGTCAAAAATTTTAATAATATAATTCTATTTTTCACAAAATGGAGTTGCACCTTAAAAGTTTTCATGGGAATCTGTGTCACAAAAAGAAAACTGTTGATAATAAGTTCAGTTTGCTAAATGAAGGCATTGATTCATCCAGCTCGTTTTACAGCCCACCTTTCAATTGACACCGCCCTGTGTGGAGAGCAAGTCGTCTGTTTCTTGCGTAGACATTACGGTGACGTCAGAAAGGTGACGAGCTCTCATTGGCTTTGAGCGGAAGATATAGTGGGTAGACCACAATGCTAGACAGCATGAGGTCTACCCACTATTTTTTTTTGTTCAATCGGTCAATAAGAGCTCGGCCTTCTGACATCACTGCAACCCCTATGCAAGAAGCAGACAAACTTACGCTCCGTATAGGATTACGGATACTCAAAAGTGCTTTCCGTAATATAAATTACGGAAAGCCTACTCTGAGTGCCCTTTTACGGACAACTTTTAAACACTTTTACGGATACTAGAGCGATTTCCGTAATAGGTTTTACGGAATGCATATTCCAGTCCGTTGTTTTACGGACAGCCCTTGAATAGCGTTACGGATAGTAGAGCACTTTCCGTAATCTGTTTTGCGGAACGTCCTTTAATTTGCGGATTGTGTATGCGTTTAAAAGGATTTTTCCGTTATTAGGATTATGGATGACCTTTCCGGCAGCATAGGTGCCAGAGAATTTCTCCGTAAAAGAGGGCAAATTTTTTTACATACCCTGGCACTTTTTTAACAGCCTTAGTTGCAGTGTTTGGTTTTTTCATCCGTTCTACGATCGACTCCTCAAGCTCTCCGCCTGCAAGGAAACAGATCACATCGCCAATGTAGTCCTTCAACGACGCGCGATGGTTTTCACTGAAACTTCACACGCGAGTCCGGTTTTGCTAAGAACGGTTTGGTTACTTTCAATCTTGCGCCGCATATAATCAGTTTAGAGAAAAGTGAGAGCCACGCGTCGGTGAGTTCGGCGGGGACGACACCGAAGAGCCAGCGAACCAGACAGTCCACGTGGCCTCCAGCCATGTAGTAGGCCTTGGGGGTGGACTCCCTGACAGCCAGCGCCATCTCGTGCACCACTTCGTTCGGATCGTCCCTCGCGGCACCATTGAGGAAGCCAGAGGTCAGACACTTGACCCTTGACAGCGTCGCGTTGCAGACGCTTCGCTGTACTTCGGCGGGAAGGTTCTTCATGTCGGCGTCGAGCGTGGCTTCGAGATGGTCCGTGTTGAGCATCTTCGTTCTGAGGAAATAAGGATATGTCCCCTGGTGTTGTGCCTTTTTCGGACATACTAGCGTAAATAAGTGTTTCATATTCATTAGCGTGATTTCTAGGTGGAGACGACAAATCAATGATTAATGGCACCGCATTTCGGGATATGAAGCGAATGTTGTAAAATTTCATTTTCACCGCTCGATTAGTATCATGTATAAAGGACAAAGTTGTTCAGTTTTGATACCTTGCCGATTTCACTGTGCAACAAGATATATGTAGCATAGCGGGAAAGCATAAAACATGACGAGAGAGCTGAGGTTATTATGCCTGGAGACTCGTATATACACAAAGGCACTTGACTAAATTTACGCCTTTTAAGTCTGTGGGAACATCTGAAAGTCTCGCGCAATAAAGGTAAAACAGGACACCACCATCAAAGTTTCGTCCCTATAGATTGCGAGTTTCTTTATTAGAGTAAGGGTTGCACATGCTGTGTTTTCGGCCTATTTTAATATTGTCTTCTGTCTTTGGACATTCTAACATTGAGTACATAAAATTAACAATGTTTATACTCCCATGCACGCCCTGTCACAACTACACTATTTGTGATAGAGCGAGTATTGTCAACAATGCCCTCTAATATTTCATTTCTAAACACGATAGATGTATTTGACACTTAGCATTTTCCTTTAGACGCTGCTGCTCGCTGTAAAATAACTCGTATAGCCTCGTGAGTTCAGCATTTTAGTAATGGAGAAGTTTTAGTAGACCGCTCCGATAACTCCAATAATGATAACCACTAGACAGCCTTTGCCCATGCATCGTATCGGTATCGTGTATTGTTACAAGAGGTATGGGAAGGATCTACTAAAACTCTATAATTCAATATGTATGCCGACAATGTCAAGGCGTCTTTGCACGTTCCGTCCTTCCGTGATTGTATGAACCATTGGTACACAATACCGAGGTAGGTCAGTTGTGTTAATTAAAGAAGCTGTTCCGCTTAATTCCAGATATAATTTGGCTTTTCATGTTCTAGGGTCGTTCAAACCAAACCTTTCGTTATGCGTTCAGCAACGGGTTCTTGCTTAGAGCTCATTTGATGATTCGAGGGCTTTATAAAGCTATGGAATCCTAGAATTTTAGTGCAGATGTCAGCAGTACTCTAAAAATTTTTTTTTTTCGTACGCTCCATTCATTTTTAAATATCATGCGAGTGTCGTTTATCAATTTTGTGAACAGCATATCAGAGCTTCTTACTTTAAAAAAAAGAATGTATGCATAAAAGAGGAAATATTATTTTATCTTAATAAACGAAAAGTTCAAATCTAGAGATTTACCTATTGGCTGAAATAAATAAACTTGCTGTATTGATATCTCACAAATCTGCCATTTTATAATCATTCCTGTAAACCTCAATCACACATCTCCTTGATTCTTGACCAAATTATGGAAGTAAATCCTTTCTTCGCGAGAGCTAATACATTTCAAAATGTCTTGCTTCTTATGACCGAAACCCTCTCCTCGAAATAAACGTACACGAAAGAAACCTGGCTATATTCGCTGAATTTTGCACATTGTGCTGCAAAAGAGCTTTTCAGTCATAAAGACGTCAGTTCGACAACCCTAGATACTTTTTTAAACATTACTGCTGTTTGTCAATGCCTACCGTAAAATTTTATTTAGTTGATCCCCTCTGAGTAAACTTAATTGGAACTGTATTTGACAGCCAATATACTAAGTTAAACACAACAGAAAATGGGACATGATGAAGTTCGAAGTCGCGTAAGCGATCGATAATTACTATATTATAAAAAACATTTATATTCAAGACCACACTTTCTAAGGCATTAGGTAATCGAATTAAGTCAATTTTTCGAATTCTTGAAGCCATAAAGCTTGGGCCGAAATGCATGTTCACCCCAGAAAGCAGGATCCGGCCAACTCGTCGAAAGGCACCTCGTCAGAGGTAAGCTCGTCGAAGGCCGACTCACTGAATAGGACAACTCGTCAGTAAACGGAAAAAAGCTCAACCGGCAAATGCTCACCAGACAAAAACTCACGCATTTTTACACTTTCAGCATTTTGTCACAGCAATGGAGCGGCGTATGATGGCACTACAACATAAACCAGTGTCGTCGCACGTCAATGGCTGACCGACCTTGCACTGCATGAGCACGAACGTCATTTCTTTTTTTTCTGCCGGGCAAGTGCTTATTTTTTTTATTTTAGGCCACCTGGACGAAAGCTGACAGGGCGAAACATAAACGAAACGGAATGTAAATCAAATTCGTTTTATATTTCAAAGTTTTGGGATTGGATTTTTTAAGTCAATGAATGTCCGACGATTACTTTAGAAAGTTATGCGGGATGCTGAATAGCCTGCCGTTCCTACCCTACAGGTTGTGCACGAAGGACAAAACTACATCGGCGCTACCAGCGGTATTGGGAACGCGCTGGGCTACTTCGATTCCACATTTGTAAACGGCCGGAATTGCTGCCGCACCTGCGACGAACGTTTCAGTAACCATGACAATCAGCCGACGACGAGCGGAGTTTTCCCCAGAACCATGCAATGTTCACTAAGGCACACTGCGAGACTGGGACTGAAAGAACAACATCTGCCAAGGCTTGAACAATGGCTTTCAGAAGCAATTGTTGCACACGCCCTTCGAAGCGTCTGGAGGTGGAGTGTATTCAGCATGAGCAGGAACGCGTTGACAACATTTTATCCAGGAATGGAGGGGTGAGCATTCAGCAAAGCGGGTTTGAAAAAAAAGAAACAAAAAAACAACGCGCCTTTAGGAACACTTGAAGAATATATCTTAGCTGTTCCAGCTGCACCTTGATATGCACTGCTGGAGGCGGTGTGGGAATTTCTTCGTTTTTGACAAACAATTATATAAACAGGTGCTTAATCCTATTACAAACCACGTGCGTCAGGTCTACGTTTCATTGCATTTTGGGGTCGCACACGTGCATCTAAGCTGTATCAGCTTGTGTCAAGGCCGACGAGATTTTCCCCGGTGAACTTTTCTTCGGGTTCCTGAACAAACTAATGAGCTTTTGTCCGAGCCTATAAAAACCTGGCGAGTTTTTGTCGGGTGAGCATTTTTTTCAGTGAGGTTTCGTCCGGTGGGCTTCAAGTTCGTCGTAGCCAGGTCCATTTGCAGAAAGGGGAACTCGACGATAGGGGCAACATGTCGAAACGCAATTCGTCGAATGGGCAGGAGGGAAATTTTAGGCGAAGGTTGTTTTATTCTCGTCGTTTCTAGAATTCTACTTTTGCGCCTAAATATATTTTGTTATTGTTTATGGACTGTGAGCGGCCAAATTTGGTAGACACTAGCATTAAAACATCGATAATTGTATAAAAAGGGTGTAAGTTAGGAAAGCATTCTTTTTACATCCTTTTTGCACGTTTTCTGAATATTGGTGAATGTAAAAAGGGTGTGTTGACGTCTTACACCCCTTAGACGCCTTCTTTACGCCCCACCTATAGCGATGGTGTCTAAAATCGTGTAAAAAGTCTGTATGGACGAATTTTACGCCCTTAAATTACACTGTGTGAAAGGGGCGTAATGATGCTGCTGTCAATTACACCCATGATTTCATAGCCGTTCATGCTTATTGCTTTGGTGAAACTTGCTGATATTCGGCGGTACAAACATCGAGTATAATTAATCGCCACACAAAGTCGCGTATGATTAGGAAGTGCTAGAGAAGAGTTTTTGCAACTTCGACTGAACTCTCCGTCCGACACGAGCCGCAAATTGCGTGTCGCGCTTCCATCAGTTTTATTAGCTCGACTTTGATAAAAAAAAAAAAATAATAATAATCATCTGCGCTCGCGAAAAATGAACGAAGACGTGTAAATATACAACCCAGGCAGCACACAGTATGGCGACGCTAAGGAATTATATCGAAAAGATTGTGCCGACCATTTTGGTCTAGCCAATGTTTGTGAAAAACGGGATAGGTTGCGTCGACGCCATCCTGACAGACCGTACGTGGCGCCGTTTTTGGTAGTGCGTCAAGAGTGCCCTGCATGAATCGGCTATGCCGGCGAGGTATTTTTATTTCTTGACTGCCTAAAATCTGACTTAAAAAAACAAAACAAAACAAGATGAAGCAAAACGGATTCTGCTTACTTTATATTGAAAAAGACCTACTGCGCTGAAGCCTTGAAGAAACTGTGACGCCTTTATTTCGGGTATTACAAACTCACCTTTCTGGGTTTCACACTACTTATAGCACCTTCACTGAGATTTTATTTTTGTGTGCACTTCTGAAGAAACTTTGTCGCAAAAAAATCAAAAGAGCCGGATTCATGACACCACCGATAGGGTTCGCGACTCTTATATCTGCGTGGTGACACCAAAATATAAAACAAAAAAGCGTCCTGATGTTTTTTTTTTTTTTTTGTACACGTGAAGCCGCGTCTTTTATTGTTTTATGCTCTCAGCGTCTTAGCTTTGTCCCTTGCTTCGACGGCGTTGAAATTTTTTTTTTATTTATTTTGTTATTTCGCGATTCGCACCAGAGCATGCGCTTCTACATGTGTCGCAGTTTGATACGCTCAAGGTTGTACTACGCATAGCGAGTCCTGGCGACTCTCATTTCGCGACCTCCCTTGGCAGTGCAGTTGGCGATACAAAGCAGCGGAGGGAGATTAGCTGCTTTGTCCAACCCCCTTTGACCTAGTCTTCTGATAAGTCTCCACACCTTCTTTTGTGTCTTCGTGCGGCTGTGAGAAAGCGCGAAGGCCGCTTCTATCTAATCAGGGGGGGGGGGGGGGGGGGGGGGCGAAACACGTGACCGCTCTCCGTAGGACAAAAACGCTCGGACGAAAATTTTTCCCGTGACTCGCTCTGACGCGCTGATGAGCTCACTGGGGCCGTAGTCTTTGCCGTATGCCAAGTTATGGTGAGTTGTAGGGGCCACGTAGGTTCGGTTTACAAAAAGCGCCCGTCAGTGTTTTCCTCTTTTCGTGCCTTGCAGTCGCGGCCGTGATTTTTCGTCGTGAA